GGTGACCTGGTCTCCTGCTAAAGCTCTGATAGCTCGGCTTTGCAATCAGACGCCGCAAGTGGTCTGGTCTTCAGGAAAAAATTGGCCCAGCCAGGCCAAGTTATTGATCCACGGTGGAGCTTAAGCGGGACATATTTAGAGCGGAACTGCCCCCTCACGCTGGGGCTGACGAGCTGTACGAGGAAACGCACCTTCGGCCTGTTAAATCATGCAAATTATATTTGGTGTTCATCCCAGAACAGAGGACAGCCATTCATCCGAAAATAACTCATGCTGCAAAGGTGCAAATGTACCCGTGTAACGAATCTTTGTGTATTTCCTGATCGGTGACAGAATAGAGTGAAGGCGGCGGCTTCTTTTGAGATCTGACCTCTTGCAAAGCAGTCTGAGATGTGAGAGTCTGAGCCGATTTCCTTATGCAAAGTTTGCCTTTGAAGTCATTCTTCAGATGTTTTGGACAGACGCTGGTGAAAGGGGACACTTGACGAAGTAAAGGGCTTTACTTCGAGTAGAACAACTTTACACTTCAAATCAAAATGTGTTGCTTTCCTATGCGAGGCCCACCCAAAGTGTCTGGGATGTGGTGTTCGCCTTCCATTTACAGGATATGGATCCCTGCTTATGTTATCTACACTTTTACTTTAAACTCTGCGCGTTTTGCATCAATAAACAGGTTCTGAACTTCTTTTTTTTTTACATCACAGAGGAGTTGGATACAGAATGTGGACGCGGGACACGAGGGCCTTTGGAAAGCTGAAATTTATTATGAAAAGATGACAAAGCACAACTTAACCGGAACCGAACTTGGAAAACAAAATGCCAAATGTATGAAAACTCAGAAGAGCAAAAGGTAAAAAATAAATATGATGATAAGGGAGCCAGAAAAGACATGAGTGAGTTACCGACCACAGGTGAAGGTGGTCGAGGCTCGAGGGAGGGGACAAAAAAAGGAAAAAGACGTCACATTAAAACAGGAAATGGAGCACGAGGGATGGAGAAAAGCTAAAGGAAAATCAGGAAGACAAACTGACGCTATAACCAAGGAATTAGAAAGAAACTAAGGCCAAATAAACAAGAAAAAGTTTCAATTTAAGCAAAGATGCTGGAGCAAAACTAAATTAAGCCATCCAAACAGCTTCAAATTCCATCAATCTGCACACACACATGCGTCCAACTGTCGGTGGGATTAAAAATCGGTAAAATCTGAACATTTCTGCTGCACCAGCATAGACTTTGTTTCTTTCTGGAGGTCAGACGTGTTGTGGACTGACTGTTTTACTGGAAGATATTAACTGAAACTTTGAGGCTTCATAGAAGTGTTCAATTAGTTCTTGTGTGTAACTGTGTCTGCAGCTGGGATTGGACCCCGAAATTTTGAGCTTTAAAACAGGGTGTAACACAGGTACATAGAAAGGGGAATACGGTAAATCCAAGCGGGACAATGGAGCAAAACGGTATGAAGTGAAAACTGTTTTCATATGAAAATGTCGAAGAAAATCAAATTAATAAATCAAAGATAATCCAGAGAAAACCTTATCTGACTCAATTCAACAGCTGTATGAGGATACATAAAAAATAAAAGTTGAAAAATCATAGAAACACCAAATCACCATCGCCTACGGTGTTAAATTACCATTAACATTCCAACTAAAGTCGCTCAATAACAACTCAAATGCTAAAATAATGCTAAACAGAAAGTAATCTGCCATCTTTCCACTGCAAACACACATACAGATTTCCATTTTTCTCTTTTAAAAGGGGGAGCAGCCCTGATAAAAAGCAAACCATGCAAAGAGAGGTGTAAACTCCAGGCGGCAGGATTCATGTGGGATTATTCACGGGTTCAAAGTTCACCTGAGGAGAAAAGCAAAACAACAATCAGCTTCTGGAGAGGAGAGTCGGGGTCTGTGTGAGCGTTTGTTTTCGGGGTTCGCACCTCGGTCTTCTTCTCTGGCAGCTTCCTCCAGGCCAGTTTGAAGTCAGTCACTCCCCGGTTAGCAAGCATCGCCCTCAACTAAAGGGAAAAGATGATGCTGAGTGTGGTCACTGACTAAAGGAACACGTGTCCACATCCCAAAAACGAATAATGTGACGACAGAGGAAATAAATTATAGTTAACTCATTCGCTGCCAAAGACGTCTATAGACGTCTTTTATGTTTTTCAATGCGAGTGGCTTTGGGGAACGATCGGCTAAAGTTTTTCCGTAAATATCGGCTTCCAGACAGAGTATGTACTAACAAATTTACCCTCTAGGGGGCAGTGCCACTTTTGATGTGAGATTAGCATAGATTGTAGGCAAATAAGAAAAAGGTAACGGTTCGCTATGAGAGAACATGTCGCCGGTGAGACGCATGTCGAAGAAGAACGGAATAAGGTAGAAACAAAAACTTTTTTCCTGATGAAAGAAGAGAGTCTACTCTTTCTTTTGGTGTGTTCGGTGTTTACATAGTCATAGCACAAACTATTCTGTGGCTCTCCAAAAATCCGTCAAAATGCTCAAAAAACTCTGGCAGTGAGCGACTCTCTGTTCTGAAAATGGCTGGCAGTCAATGAGTTAAAACACCCTCTTTATTACAGTTTTTAGAGTTCAGATGACCTGCATTCACGC